GTGTGTCAAGAGGGGTGCTATGGTTTTCTTTCACTCTAGAATTTGCTGGTCTTTCTCTCCTGCCCTCTTTTTCTAAGTGGCAGTATTGTCCTTGGATATTCTCAATCGTCCAGTCATGATTGTCCCAAAGGATCTTTTCCAAAGGCAACCAGACTTTCTTGGTTGTTTTTTTCCTTTTCAAAACATTTAGCTTCTCATCCGAGAAGCTTCTTCAGTTCAGAACTGAAGAAGCTTTTTGGATGAGAAGCAAAATGTTTTCAAAGAAAAAAAAACAAGAAAGTGGTAATATTGTAGGTTGTTTGTATGTCACCTTGCCACTGTTTTTGGGAAGAATACTGATAAAATAAAATGCTAAAAGATTTAGCTAGGTGAATTGCTAAAGTGGACAAGAGATTACCAAACTGATCTAGAAGACAGCAAATACGCATTTAACAGTTAAGCTGTGTTCATCATGCCTTGGACAATTCTCTTGCTGAGTGTTCCCACCTTTCCATTCCAGGAAAGTCAATTGCCTTCCTTCCCATGGATGGATTTTCCATGACATACTGTATATACTTATGTATTTGTATCTTTATTTGTGTGCATCCATGCATGCATGCATTAATTCATACACATACACACACACACATGAACAATGTTAAATTGAATTTATGCACTGTATAGAAAACTACAGTATGCTCAAATTTAGAATCATGCTGCCTCTTTTTGATATTGTTCAAATTCTCCCAATAGTTCATCTTTTGAGTAGTTTAATGTTACTAATGCAACTGTTTTTCCATTTGAAGACATTTTTATTACCTTTGAATTTTCTGTCCTGATCTTTCTCTCTTTAAATACAAAACAAAGCATAGATCCTCTTTTTGAGTTACAACTATCTGAGGCTCTGGGCTTCATTTTTCTCTCTTCGTCTACAAAGCATTATTTCCAGAGTTAACACTGACTGGCAAATGGCTTAAATTGCCCCAGTGTGATTGATCTACCTTTTTTTGTTTATTTTTGCTTTTTTGGCATTCTGCACACTGCATTACTATCTGTAATTAACATTTCTTAGGCCATTTCCATAACATTAATTTTATGGGCTAATATAACCCCATTAAACACAACATTAACTAGCATCCTAAGAACAACTTTAGATCTATCCTGGGGGTGGGGTGGGGGTTAGACTTATAACTTTGAAAGCTTCTTGTTTCAAAAAAATGTGCCAGATGGCCTGGAAGTTGGTATTTGAGAGATGCAAACCTAAAGCTTGGAACTAATTGTGTATTCCACACTTACCCATATTTTTAATTATAATTTTATTGTAACACTTTTGTGATGTCTGAAGCACTCCATCTTTCCAGATGTTTTCCATGAGACCCTTGTCCTTCTGCTGATATATTACTTTACTTGTGTTAGCTATTTGTTTGGGTTTTTTTTTAATCAATGAAGCTGAAATCAATACAGCTTCATTCTATAGCCAAGGTAGCCAAGGCCAAAATAGGCCCCATTGTACCTATGGAAAGCAATGTACGCACAGACTCCTCATTTCTTGCCTGTTTAGCTTCTGACCCTCTCTGATTTTTACTATTTTTAATTTAAAAACTTAATGCAAAGCTGAACTTTTGCAATGCAAAGATCAGATTACAATCTACTCTATTTACATCAACCCCTCACAAATTCTTAGAAAGTTAAAACACTGGGGCTTTGTTTTGGAAGTGTAGCATACCCATATGATCAGGAGAAAAAAATACAAAAGTAACCTGGGATGGCAGTTATTCAGGGAGTTATTTTTCAGGAGAAAGATGATAGGGAACAATCTTGCCTCTTGGTAAGAGGATATTTTATAGCTGATTACAGAAGATGTTCCCAAGTTTTCAGATAAGGCCTCTGATCCCAAACAATTGGGTATTCGTAATCCAGGCATTGATCAAGCATTGACTTAGCCTAGCAATATCTCCTGCATATCAACTCATATTGCAACCTTTCAGCTGATTAGACCACAATTCCAATTATTTGCAGATGGCATGGCTATATAGGATTTGTAGTTTAAATATTTGGAGGTCATGAGACTGGTGAAGACTGAATAAGCGAGTTCTGGATCTCATTATTCAGAGAGGCTGACCTGCCTCTGGCTCTTTTGAGATTTGAGAAAAGTAGTAAATCTTCCCACAGAACTATACTTTTCCAGTGTAGAGTTAATAAAAGACTTAAAATTGAGTCCAAGGACTGATACTTGCAAGTAGAAATCTACCCAAGAAAAGATTGCAAATTCTATCCCAGAGTAAAACATTGCCCTTGAAACTAGTTTCAGAAGAACTGATGAATCCCTGCGAATAAGATCTTTGACACTTCCTTGTCAGACATCTGGGTGCTCAAAGGTAGGAGATACTGAAAAAAAATCCTCCATAAAAGGACCAACTTGTCCTCTGTCACATTACCCATAGCATAATATTTCCTGAGGCAACCAGGCAATTGGCTGGTTGAGCGGTGACTCACATGGATCCATTCTGGGCTGGATTTTGTTGAGAGAGTGAGACATTTCCTCAGTGTCAGACATTGGAGAGAAAAAGGATTGTTGCTTAGACATTGAGACTTATCTTTGAAGAATGTCTCAAAAGAGTATACATAACCTCAGGATTTTTCATGACTTGTATTAAATTACTATAAAATCCTCCCTAGATACACCAAAATGCTTCCATCCTGCTTTGTTGAAAGAATGGGTTGTGCATGGTGAATAACTCATTTTACTGAAAGGCTATAATGTAGCAATAAATCAATAGACAACATATTCGGAATCTGGCTTAATGTTCATGCTTTCCTGATTTAAATCTCTCAGTGTGAACATCAGTGAGATTGATGATTTGTGATAAAGTCACCATGGGATTTTCCAGTTGGATCCCAAAGTGCACAATATAGAAATTAACAGCTAGGCAAAATATACTGTATATTTCAAGGAGTACAAAACACCCTGAATAGCTGAATGGCATGGGTTGCTAATGGAATAGGAAGCTAAAATAAGTGATATTGGCATTAAGGAAGGCAACTCCTATATTCTCTGATCTGGAGATTTGGATCTCTCTCTCTCTCTCTCTCTCTCTCTCTCTCTCTCTCTCTCTCTCTCTCTCTCTCTCTCTCTCCCTCCTCCTCCTCTATTATATTAAAATAGTGTGTGGATCAGTCCTGATCCCAGATATTTTGTATGATAAAAGAAAAGGAAAAGGAAAAGAAGAAAAGCAACATGAGATATTGCATAATCCAAACTAGAGTAGCACAGTTTAATTAGGTTCCTGAAAATTAGAAAAGCAGGTTGAAGATTGAAGTATCAAAAATCACAAGTGGTTCACAATCACATTGTAAACAAGCAGATTCACAATTGGCAGAGATAAAGACAACAACCTATATTTCCCCATCCACTGTGAGGTGCAGAGAATGTTTTTGCTACTTCCGCCTTGACTTGTTTATAGACCCCTTGTTTTAGGCTAGGTGAAGTCTTCCACAAAACATATAATATACTCTAAACTTTGTGATTCTACCTCACGTTTCAGATAAAACATAGTATTTTCTGAACTTCCCCAAAGAAATAAAAAGCTCTGCAACAGTTTCTAAGGGTAGGGTTCTAGTGATGAAAGTAGCATCATTGTGGAGAAAACTCAATGGAAGGTTTTCCATGTTGTTCTCCCTTGAGGAAAAAAAAATTCCCCTCCCAAGCAAAGAGTGGGAAGACAGGGAAATTGCAAACTACTGGAAAATCATATTGAACATATTGCTCAACTCTTCGATGATTTGCAGTATTGATCAATATAGATTAGCGGTAGATGACTAAAATGAATTAGGGCTTCTATTTATTGAAATGTTTGCTTTAAAACATATGTATCTTTGTAATGAATGGCCTGTAGGTTTGTTTCTTTTGGGGAGCTTTTTTCTTTTAAAATATTGTGTTTTCCCCCCTTTTTTGTATATAGTGTTTTTTTTTAAAAAAAAAGTGAAAAAAAAAAGAAATGCCTACATGTTGATCACCCTTTTACTATATAAAACTAAGATTTTAATGCTCTATGAGATTTTGTTTGTAAAAAAAACCCCAGAAAGGTATAAAGCATTATTCCATCAAACTGAACGGAAAATGATTATTAAAATTCCAGGAATTTATCTTTATTTATAAGGGCAGTTCGGAAATAAACCTCCGTTTGATTATGAATGACAGAGAACTATTATTGTACACATTAGAAAACTACAACATTACCTTACTTTTCGACATAATCGCCATTCAAATAGAGGGACTTGTCATAACATCTTACAAGGTTTGAAATTCCTTAGTAGTAGTCACTTGGCGCCAAATCTGGGCTACAGGGGAGTTAATCAGAAACATCCCAACGGAACTGCTTCAAAAGTTTTGGGTGCATCTAGCGGTGTGCGGGTGAGCATTATCGTGAACCAACACCACACTGGAAGTCAGCATGCCCTGACACTTGTTATGGATGGCTCATCTGAGTTTTCGTAATGTTTCATGGTAGACTTCTGAATTGATGGTCAAACCATGCTCCATGAACTTCACTAGCACTACTCCTTTGGCATCTTCACATTTGGTGGGATTTTCTGTGGCACCACTTTCGATGTGGTGTTGGTTCATGATAATGCTCACCCGCACACCGCTAGACGCACCCAAGAACTTTTAAAGCAGTTCCGTTGGGATGTTTTTGATCACCTCCCCCATAGTCCAGATTTGGCACCAAGTGACTACTACTAAGGAATTTCAAACCTTGTAAGACATTATGACAAGTGCCTCAATTTGAATGGCAATTATGTCGAAAAGTAATGTAATGTAGTTTTCTAATGTGTATAAGAAAAGTTTTGTGTCTGTGAGTATCTGTCATTCATAACCAAATGGAGGTTTATTTCCAAATTGCCCTCGTCTTTGGGCATCAATTTTCTTGTGGGTTCTCATTCGTCCTTCTTTTAATTAGTACATTTTGTCCTTTTAAACAGAAGAACGGGAGATATGAATAATAAATATCAATATTTTTGTTCTAGCAGAAATCCATTGGAATTTTTCAATTGTTCTATTAAGTAAGGAAGAAGAATTTAATCAAATCAATAGTCAAAAAAGGGGAGGGGGAACCAAGTTTAATCAATAATGTTTTATACCTTTCCTGTTGTGTTCCTATATGGAGTTCACAATCTCATGTACTCTAAGACTGTGAAGGGAATAATGGGTAACTTCGTAGGACTTTTTTTTCCCAAATCACAGCGAGCAAATGACATTGCTACTTATCTGGTTAAAATATCTTAATTAACAGATGTAGGGAAAATTGCTACATTTTATTTGTCCATAAAAACCTATTTTAATGCAAAGTCAGTGTTATGCTATATGAAATTCCAGTAATAATCATTTCAAACTGCTTATTAAACTCCCCAAATGAAGAATGTAGGTCTATTCTTATTAAATCTGTACTTATTTCTTTAAAAAGAAAAAAAGGATCTCTTTGAATATGAGTAAATGTATTCAAATAACATCTGATTTATTTCTCAGCCATGCATGATGTGATAAGGTGGTGCTTCCAGAGCAATTTCCATTTGAGTTTTTAAGAATATTTAAAAAGATAGTCTTTTTTGTTTTTATATTTCTAGGAGGAAAGCCTGTGGCATTTTTGTATTCTTAAATGTGAAAATTAATGTTTGAATAATTAAACCCAATAGTGCTGCTTTTGAACATTACATTTGGATTGTTTTTCTTTTCTGCTTTTCTTTCTTTTTCTTTTCTTTTTTCTTTGCCTTAAAGTTAATGTTGACTTACTTAGCAACAGAAATTTGACCTCAATTGTGATTGTTAAGTCAAGGACTACCTGTACAGTATTCTATAGCTTCTATGTTTCTTTCCAACTAGTTTACTAGCGATAACCACATGAAAGACTATCATATGATGTAACATGTATCTTTCGATATGGAGCCTTACTGGGAAGTCAGAACAGGATGCATATATATTCTGCTCTGGGTCACATAATCAGGAAGGAGAAGTTGGTGGGGCTTAAAATGGAGCAATCAATCATAACTTTCTGATTCAACTCCAAGCTTCCTCTCTCATTGACACGCACAGTGAGATTTCTTTTTCAGATCCACCCCCCCACCCTCCAAAGTTTGCTTCCAACATTTCATTGGGTTGAAAACAATAAAAGTTATTAATTCAATCATGGCAGTTTACAGTTTTGTGATGTGTAGGCAAACAGCAATACTGCAGAAATCAGACCAAAAACGGAATAAGTAAAAAAAAAAAAAAAAGGCTGCTGTAGTAGGGAAAGAAGGAAGAAAACATGTCTTGAGATCAAACAGATCATTGCAATATGTTCCACCCCATCTTAGTGGCTGACAATCTTTATTTATATAAAAGAAAAAGAGCACGTTCAGCAAGATCTCAATTGCCAGGAATGTCACTATATCCAGTTAGACAGGTTCAAGGCAATGACACAGAAAAATCCAGGATTTTCATGTCCTTCTAACTGTGACACAAACATGTCCTGGTAACAAAATCATTTTTATAACTATAAACAAAATCACTTTTATAATTAATTCTTTATATTTAATTCCATGTGAAATTCTTATTTCACATTTCTCTGGGCCTTTAGTCCATTTGAAACTTTCTAAAATCAAACCTTTAATCATGCTTTTGCTGTTCATTCAAAAGAAAAAAAAAGTTCTTAAATTTGTAGTTAAAACTTTTCCCACTAAGAATTAAAGGAAACCCATCTGGTGCTATAAAACCTGTTGATCCAAACATTCCTAACAGATGAAAAGCAATTAGTGGAGATTTTCTGAAAGTAAGTCCTCAACTTACGACCACAACTGACCCCAAGCTTTCTGTGGCTGAGGCATTTGTTAAGTGAGTTTTGCTCCAATATACGACTTTTCTTGCCACAGTTGTTAAATGAATCACTCCAGTTGTAAAGTTAGTGACACAGTTGTTAAGGGAATCCCCATTGATTTTGCTTGCCAGAAGATTGCAAAAGATGATCGCATGGCCCCTGGATACTACAACCGTCATAAATATGAGTCAGTTGCCAAGCATTTGAATTTGGATCACATGACCATGGGGATGCCGCAACGCTCATAACTGGGAAAAACTGTCAAAAGTCACTTTTTCAGTGCTGTTGTAACTTTGAATGGTCACTAAATGAACTGTTGTAAGTGGAGGACTACCTATATGGAAACTTAGTATCTTTTCAAAGGTGCCTGTCACAGTTTGAGCAACATGGTTATTCCCCAATCTCCCAGAACCCTAGACTTTGACTGCGGTCTTGCAGTGTTCTCATAAGGAGCATCTGTCTGAAGCACTTTTGGGTAAGTCCTTTCTTTATCCAGAAAGGAATTACTGAAGAGCCCATCTACTCACCCAGCTCTTCATTCCAAAATGGTGGTTGACTCGAAAAGTCTTTCTTTTTTTGAAAATCCCCTGGTATCTGTATGACATCTGCAACATTTTTTTCTAACAGCTCAAGGACTGATGGATTGTACTTTGACATGACCAGGCATGATTACAACTGGCTCAGCATTAGTTGATAAGTGCTAGCAAAGCAGGAAGATTTAAATACCACAATACTCTCCTCTGAGCTTAGATATTATTACTTGCCTAACACATTGCAGGAGTCTTAATCCTGTATAATCTCTATTTATAGCATTTGCTATAATTAGATTCCTGCATTGTCAAGAGTTGGCATTCCCCAAGACCTGGGAGAGAAGGATAGGGAACATCTGGAAAGTCTTCCTAATTAACACTCTCATTTCAAGAAGAACCATTTGGCCCACCTTCAACTTGTTCCTATTCTCTTCTTTTTTTTTTTTTTTTTTCAATATAAAATTTTTATTGTTTTCCAAAAAAGAAAAAAACATCACAAGTATTACACAATATTATAATATATCCCACCCACCCCCCCGGACTTCCCAAACCAAATCCCAGGCTAATATTCAAATATAGGTAAACAAATATTAATATCTCTAACTCCACAAACTCTATTTATAAACAATCCATCTCCTCCACATTAAT